TTATCAGTATTCACAGTATTTAAAAAAAAAATTTTACTCAAATAATTTGAAAACTGCGATAACTAATCAAATTCAATCATATAATATAATTTTTATATTTTATTCTTAGCAATTACATAATATCTTAAATGATGGATTAAATTTTATAAGTAGTGTCAAGATTTTGGTTGTATTGGAATTCTGCTGGGATTTTTATTATATCAGAATTTTAAGTATCAGAATTCTTAGTGTCTAGATTTTGAGTGTTGAGATTCTGAGTGTCAGGATTTTGAGTAGTGAGATTTTGTATTTCTAGATTTTTAGTATTGGATTCTGTGTTTCAGGATTTTGAGTATCAGAATTCCATGTTTCAATATTTTGAGTATTGGAATTCCATATTTCAAGATTTTGAGTGTTGGGATCATGTGTTTTAGTAATTTGAGTATCGGGATTCTGAGTATTAGGATTTTGAATGTCGAGATTCTATGTATCAAGATTTTGAGTATTGGGATTCTGAGTGACAGGATTTTGAGTATTAGGATTCTGTGTATCAGGATTTTGGTAATTTTAGGATTTTGAATGTCAGAATTTTGAGTATCGGGATTTTAATATTATCAGGATTTTAATTTGTTAGGATTTTATGTATCAGGATTTTGTTTCCAGGATTTGGTGTGTTGAGATTCTGATATACAACTTAACTTTCCTTATTTTTTAGAAAGATAATTATTCTAATTTTTAATATCAAGTTAGAGTCATTGATTTCCTCAAGTTAGATCTTGCTAATACCTTCTATTATTGCTTTTTCAATTTCCTTTCAAATATCTTGTAACACTAAACAACTCATTAAGTGAACAAAATCTTCTGAAGTTTCTTCCTTATATAAGATGTAGTAATTGCTTTTATATAAAAATAATTTTTGTTTTTTAAGTTCACTAAATGTTAAAAGACTATTTAACAAGTACTTAATCTGCATAATAAGATTTTTGCTATCTTTTATCAACAGATAATTTATTTTTCTCTGCTTTTTGATTCTCTGCTATAGCCTTTTCTAGTTATACTTTGAGCTTTTGGCTATATTATTCTTTTTTAATATACTCACTCTGCATTATTGTATTTTTTTGTTAGCTTTGTTATAAATTACTTAACTAAGCTCTCAATCCTGTTTGATTTCCATACTACATCATATTTCATCGTATCGTGTGCTTCCATCAAGCTTCGTTTATTTTTTTTTATTTTTTTTTGATTTGTATAAGTCTCACGGATTAGAAAAGATGGGTTCATTATTAACGAAGAAAAAAATGAAGTACAATTATTAACGAAAAACAAAAGAAGTATAATTAACGAAGAAAAAATGAAGTATAATAAAGAACTTCTTAAAAAATATTTTATTTATTCACCATCATTCATATCAATATAATACGTAATAAATTCTGTTTGTCATAAGTCATCGTTGATTATAATATGATCTGCATTTCAATCGGTGAAACAGACGTCAATTAATAATCGACGTAAATTGAAAAATGACGCATAACGTCCTTACGTATTTATGTATCGATTGGGAGCAGTTAATCAATCCAGTCCAAACCGACGGACCGGGGTTTATAGCATGGATATTTTTGATTTCGTAACCAACATTAACATATCACATGACTCGATCACTTTATTACAACACTTAATTTTAATAGTTACAGTATTTTGTATCCTCTTCATTTCGACTGTCCTCCAAACATTAAACAACCAATTAAAATGCTGGATAATTCTTATAATTTAATACATAATTTGTATCAACCAATGAAATTGGCCCATACGCTTGGCATAGAAAATATTCTCTTAAAATTCCCTCCCTAATCCAATTTGAGAAACTCAATTAAAATCTCTGAATTAAACTTTGACAGTGTTTGAACAGGAGTTAGTTCGTCATAATAGATTTATTACTCCAAATTCTCATTATTTTTAATCAGTGGAATTTTCTTAAATCAGCAAATCACGATCATAATACTTATTTACCATTGCCTAATTCTTTTCAAATCATTTCGTATTAATTTAGTGAGTTTGAAGATGATTTATTAATTTATGGAATTAAAATCATGATTAAAATACTTATTTGCCATTGCCTAATCCCCTTCAATTAGTTAGTCTGAAGATGATTTATTTATTATTAATCGGCGGAATTAAAATCAGTAAATCATGATCATAAATACAAAAAGTTAAGTCGCACAAATCGGTACATACAATATAAAACCTGGTAACGATGTCACATAATAACCGGCCCATCCGATCTTACACTGATCAATTCAGTCCTTATTAGAAGTCTAAATAAGTAAGTTATATGAAAAAGTACGGGTATTTTTATTTTTACCGTAAAAAGTACAAGAGATCACACGTACTCTGTTCACTTACTAATATAATTACCTGCCATTAAGAACTAGAAAATACCACCCCCTTTATGATGTTCTATAGAATAGGTGGGCAATATAAGAAATAAACTCCGCTAATGATTAGTAATCATTAATTTTTTAATATATCAGATATTCAGCGGAGTTTACCCACCTACCCAAAACTGAATCAGAAATCATAGAACACTGCGTACAAAAAATTCTTGCTTCGAACCTATATCTGATTCTGAAATTAAGATCGAATACCCCATCTGATTATCATTTAAGTCACGCTAAGATCTTTGTAGTAACATCCAATAGAAAACAAGCGATCAACATTGTATCACTCACGAAAATATGTATTCTGCACTACCAGATTCCTCGTTTAGTATCATTTTTTGCTATTTTAATTTGATAAAGGTTTCGCATCATGGGAAAATGGTTTCGTCTACCAACTATAGCTCAGCCATTAATCTTTCTTGGAGTTTCATCTTTCATTAGGGTTTCAGAGTTTTCGTTTTTTACTAGAGGTTTTGTCATTTCGCCGGGAGTTTCGTCTTTTTCCAGTCTTAGGTTTCGTCTTTCATCATTACGCAAAATAGTTTATCCCCACAATTATATTCCTACACTTAAAATTTTATATCATATGATCAATACCAAGGTAACAGAAACATATCATGTCAACTTAAAACTAGACCGTCTTAAAAAATCTGGGAATCTTGATGGTGCAATTAAGCTGTTTGATAGTCTTAACGAATTCGACATTAAAAAAGATGTTTATACTTATAATTGTATGATTCATATATACACTTTGAAAAATGATATGAACAAAGCAGTTGAATATTATGAAGAAATGTTATCAAATGGAATAGAAGCTGATTCGGTAACTTACTTAACATTAATAGACGGATTCGGAAAGCAAAAAAATACAAAAAAAGCTCTGGAAATTTATAATAAAATGTTATCTTTTAATAAACAACCAACAATGAAAATTTTTTCCTCTCTTATGAATTTATACATGAAAGAAGATCAAGGAGAGCACGCAGAAAAAATATTTAAAGCCATGAAATCGATTAAAATGCAACCTGATATTAGATTATATAATACTCTTATACGCAATTCAATAATTAAATTAAATATGAAAGCTGCAAATCAATTTTATAATGATATTATAAAGTCCGGAATAGAACCAGATGTATACACATTTGCTATGATGATTGATGGTTATTTAAAAATTGGTGATCAAGAAAGTGCAACAAAGATTTATTCATATATGATAAATCGTGGAATAAATGTTAATACAGCTGTTATTAACATTTTAATGCAATTACATTTTGAAAAAAATGAATCACAAATGGTTCATAATGTTTTTGATAAATATTTTTCAAATCTTTCATATAATAATAAAATACCGCCAGATATTAAATCTTGGACAATTTTTTTGAAATCAAAATTACGACTTACAAAAGATATTAAAGTAGCTTACGATATATATAAGGAATTTTTGATGCAAATTGACAATAATTTAAATTTTCAACTTTTACCGGATTGTCATGTTTTTAATCTTTTTCTTACAATATTTGCTCATAATTATGGAAATATGAATATTTCCCAAGAAGTTTATGATGAAATGATTAGAAGAAATATTTTACCTGATGTTGTAACTCACACCATATTAATTGAGGGTTATGCTTTATTGGGTCAAGTTGAAAATGCAAATAGACAATTTCAAATTATGAAATCTAATAACATTAAACCTAATGTATTTACTTATACAAGTTTAATCAAAGCTTGGGCTCAAGTTTGGAGAGTTGATAAGATTAAACAAATTTATCAAGAAATGATCGAATCTGGTATAAAACCTCATAGGGCAACTTATCGTGTGTTAGCTTCTATAAAAAATTCAAATTCTGTTGTTTCTTTAAAACAAAAAAGTTCTTCAAATTTACCTATATCAAGAACACCACAACATGTTAGAGATACAACAAAACTATATGATAAACTTGAAAAAGCTCAAGATTCTGAAACTGTTTATATTCTTTTTGAAAATTTTTTAAAAAAATTATGATAATACGAATCATCTTGATAATAACTCAAAACCAAATATTTATTCTTTTACTATATTTATGACAAGTTTTGTATTTCAACATAGAAATATGAAATTTGCTCTTAAAGTTTTTGAAGAAATGTTAAAAAGAAATATTTCTACTAGTTGTTATTGTTATAATGTTTTAATTGAAGGATTTGCTAGATCAAATGAACCATTTAAAGCTGAAAAAATGTTTTATGCTATGATAAATAATAAGATTAAACCGGATGTTAGCTCTTTTAATAGTTTGATATCTGCTTGGGTGATGGTCGGTAGAAGGGATAAAGTATTTAAGGTTTATCGTGAAATGAAAAAATATGGCGTAAATCCCAATGAGGTTACGTTGAACAATATGAATTTAGTAGGAATGTAGTAAAATTTCTTATAAAAGTTGTATATACGATAAAAATAACGGACAATAATATTAAAATTAAAATAGATTATAGAGTCTAATAATAATTTAGTAAAAAAAAATTTTCTTTGTCATTATCTAATTTATCATAGCGATATGATTCTTTTAAATAATAATTGTACAATAGATATTTATTATAATTTAATTTAAAATAATCGAGAATACAGCGACATATAATTTAAATAAAACAAACTTATGTCCAATACCATCGAAAGTCAACTCTTAAAATAGTAAAATTACAACCAAAACTTTGATAATATATACGTATTATCTAAACTTTTTTCTCCTTTAGTAATAAATAAAACTTTATTAAACAAAAACCCATTATTCTTATGGGATTAACAAATTTCTTTAATAATCACATTATTCACTTTTTAAAACATCTTTCTTGGTTGGATAATCATTATCTCTATGAAATTCAATTAACAATTCTACTTGTTTTGCATGTGGAAATAAATCTACTCCAACCGCTCGTACTGGTTTAAATGGAATTCCTGGAAAATTATTGGTTATAGGCCGGCATAAACTATTCAAAATTTTCATAATCAATATATTTGTGTAACAATTTGAAATTTTAATATAATAAAATATAACTTACTCTATAAAATTTTGTGTGGCTAAATTGCAATCACATGAAACGTATAAGAAATAATCTATTGCTTTACATTCTCGAAGCGCTTTAATTACATTCTTATGAACTCCCGCACTATTAAAAAGAAATTAATTAACTTTTTTCAAATTTACAAAAATCCTTCAAATGAATGTTAGCGAAAAATTACCGAGGTGGATCCACAATTGCAACTGCTGTACCAGCACTTGAATGTTTATAAGAGTTTAAAGTCCTCAAATTCTTTTCAACAGGACCACGAATGTACTCGGAATTAATAATCCCTAATAAACGTATCTATTGTTAACTATTAGTAGAAATAAATAGAATGCTATTACTGTATATTTAAGCTTACCATTCAATTCGGCATTGAATTTTGCGTCTTCAACGGCCTCTTCACATAGTTCAATGCCAATAACTTTATTAATTTTATCTCCCAGACTTTTAGACAAAGAAATTCCAATAGTTCCGGTTCCACAACACATATCAATCAAAACTACAGACTCTTTTTCGGGAAGAAACAAATCTTTAATATATTCTCCACATTTTTCATATAAAACCTGAGCGGCAAGTGTGTTTGTTTGAAAAAACGCTCTAGGAGATATACGAAACCTTAAAAATAGAATGTGTTAAAAAAAAAATAAGAAATATAATTCTCATATTACTGAATATAGAAATACAAACCTACAACCCATCATATTTTCAAAGATAAAGTGCACACCAGATATGCAATCAAATGGTTTATCATCAGGTATTGCATTGCTAACTCCATCATACATTTGCAAGAGTAACGATGTCAAATTAAATTGTGCTTCACGCGCAAAGTTCTCAAAATATTCCGCCAATGCTGTCTTTTCTTGTTTAATTTTCTCTTCAGTTAATTCCTGCGGATGCATCTGAATAATGATCATTACTAATACGATAGAATAAAATTAATAATTATCTCTAGAGATATTTTTCAATAAATGATGCGACAACATACCATCATCACTAACTTGTGACCGTACAGAGATCATACGCCATGTACCTGATTTGGTTTTATAGATACACGTTATGAAAACTACTAAAAGAATTTTTAAATTTTTATGAATTTAAGAATATACCTTCTCTGTTCTTACTGTCATATGGTGCATATGGTGACTTGACAATATAATCCTAAATCAACATTAAAAAAAAATATAATTCAATATGTGTTGTTTGATTCAGTATTAAAGTGTAGCTTCTAATATACCTGCATGGCCTTTGCGATCTTTTTCGCAACTTCGCTTACATTAAGAGATTTGTTTGGTTCCTAATTTCATTACCG